CTTATACTGGAAATTATAGACTAAAATTTCCTTTTTGTGTACAAAAAAAGATAAAAGATAATTCTTCTTAAAAAAAAAAAAAAAAAAAAAAATTACCTGTTTTCATTTTTACACTCTTTTCACAAAGTCTTCCATTTTTCCATCTTTTATCCACCCAGGAGACGAGGTATCTCTCTTCCTGCAAACACAGCCGAGGAACTGAAGGAGAAGATCATCGTTCACGAGCCTGTCACTCTCACCAAATTTTTGGAAAAATTCAAGGAGTACATGCACGTGATTGCGTAAGTGTCGGCGCAGCAGCCTCTCAACTTGCATAACTGTAGAGGGAATTTCCTTACAGGAAGTGCAAAGTGTGACATTGGGTCAGAGTTCACCTTGAGAGCTGAAGTCCAATCTCTTATAACTGCAATTATGTTGCATCCAAAATCTTTAAAAAAGCTGGTTGTGATTGATGGAATTGGTATGTAAAGCACAGGAGGATTATGCAATGTAACTCTGCCCCACAGCAGGGGGGCGTCGCTTTTAATGCCAGACATGAAGAACAGGAACACGGCATTATTGAGATCAAGTGTCACCTTGGCAACCAACCAGAAGAAGGACAGTAAACTTGTTCAGCAGAGCCTTTCATGTGTCACTCTGCCTTATTTTTAATCTTGAACTCTGAAGAACAGACCAAATGCAGTCTTTCAGCCCTGAACGCTGCCGGTGTTGCACCATATTATGTCACCGCCACACATTGTGACTGGAGGAGACGCTGTTGCAGTTTTACACCATCCTTTGCCGTACTTAAGCTAAAGGAAAGATGGAGGAAAAAATGCTGAACAGAGGATAAAAAGTAACATCTTACCACTGTGTTCACAGAATGACAACTCTTTTCAGATATTGTGAACACACTAACTTATAGTAAAATATAAGTTTTTAATGACCCTTTGCACATGACGTCACACTCTTCAGAAATTTGCACGCTCCGCTGTGCTGAATGGACCTTTTTTCTGTACAGCTCAAACATTAGGGAACTTGCTGGCTGGGTTTAGCTCTTGCAGGGCAGTAGTGTGGCTTTGTGTAACAGGAGGATGCTGCAGAACAAGTCATTCAGTTGGGCAGCATTCACTGGAAACGCTGGAAGCGTTTTGTTCTGTGACGCATAGTCCTATATGACAATAAAGGTGAGACAGAGAAGAATTTCTGAAGGATAAAAACCCCATAACTACATTGTCACTGGACAACAAATTTTGTTGGGCGATAAATTGTTCCAGAACTTATTGAGATAATTGATATTGTTGTTTTGAGACCATTTTCAAGTAATATAATGGCATAATAATGCAAGAACAGATTCTCAAAGATCAATAAACACTGGAACTGGAAGACATTTGAAATATCCAAAATAAAGAAAACAACAAACAATCAAAACTGTCCATCAAAAATGGGCTAGTTGAGACCATCCAGTTTTTGTAGAGGGCTAAAAGAGAAAAACAATAAATCCAGCAAATTAAAATTATTCACCATCATGTGATTAATTGATTCATTGCTTATTGTAACTGGCCTAATTGTCTTTGTTTATTATTAACAATATCAACAGTTCTGTTTTAATATATATGTAGAGGTTACTCAATATATCACAATTTGGGGTGTAACTATATGAATATTTACAAAAACACAAAATCTTACCAAGTATTTTTAGTCAAGTTTTTAGTGCAAACATCTTAATACACATTAAATAAGTCAAAACTAACTAGGAAGTTAGTTAATAACTTAAAAAATGTTGATAAAAAGTACTGGATCCACTGGCAGATTAACTTATGATGTGGAAAAAATGTCTTGTTATAAGTGAAATAATCTGACAGCGGAACCAGCACTTTTTCATCAATATTAGGGAATTATTTACTTAAAACAATCTCCTATGTCTTGCTCAAAAGGTTACTTTGTAAGTTAGTCTTGTTTTATTTCAAGTCTACTAAACTATTTGTACTAGAAACTAGACTAAAAATACTCTGTGTGTTTTTGCCGTTTCTGCTTCAGTTCTGACTGGCTTTGTTACTCTAATGCTGACAAGCCTGTGCAAATTTTGTCAGTTTGAACAAAACAAGTTCACCAGAAACCGTTTGATACAATCGCACCAGCTGCACTTGAACTATCCCAGATCAGCTCTCATTGATCTCAATATTTCAATGCAAGTATTTTGCAGAGTTCGTGATCTTATCACACATCCGCAGACAAAACTTACTTGCGTTAGTTCCTGTCAGTCTGTGGTTTTCAAGATCCCTTTTCACCAAATTAAACATGTAGTAAGAGGACAGTCAGGAGGCACAGCAATATCTCGTAAGAACTCTCATAAAGACGATGCAACCGAAAGACGAGAACATGAAGAGAATCTGAAATCATTTGAATGTAGAAACTATTTTTTCCTGCTTGTAAATAAAAGTGCTCAACTAGCAAATCAAGCTGATTAATGGGTCAAACATAGAAGAATCTGGATCAGAACAAACAAGAATAACAAGTCAATCAGCCAACATTTTTTAACTGGAAGGCTGCCATGTCCAGACTGGGACACTCACAGCTCAGGTGTCATCACAGACTATAAAGATTATAAAAAGAAATCATGAACCAGTTCTTCTGCATCTTTGAGGAAATGATTCTCCTAAATGTCGATGTTGCAGAAGTGAACAAAGGCTGCGATTAAAGTTTGTTTGACGCATGACGGACAGAAACGCCCTGATCGAAACCAAAAAAAAAAAAAAAAGTTTAGCTTCAACCTGAATTTAAAAACAAGACGGTGAATGGTGCAGAACAAGTCAGTCTTTTTTATTGTTGTTTTGCTTCTGCAGGCTTTCTGAAAGTTTTTCAGGAATGTCTTACTCCTTATTGCCAAGTTGTAAAGATATAAAGAGATTTAGATTGGTTTATCACTTTTGCATGGCTTACAGATAAAGTACAGCACCTCAGCTAATGACTGCTAGACAAGAAGTGTAAAAACAACCTGTAATAAATTCATCTTTGACTTTAGTAAGCGCATATAGAAAAATCCAATTGTCTTTTAATATATGCAATGTTTTAAAATAAAATCCAAGCAGGTCAGACTTGTTGACATCCATTTAAATTGATGTAAAATTAATTTTTAACTTTTATACTTTAATCATGTCAGTCTGACTAGGAAGTTTAATTAGTGATTAGTTACTTATTGTTTCCCAGAGGAATAAATGTGATGTTACACAGAGACCAGTTTTGAATCGATCTTCATAAAACATTAAAGTCATGATTAAAAAGTTTCAGTTAACAAACAGGTTTTTTCTTCTTGGTAAATAAATTAATAAGTGTTTTTTTTAATGCTGTTGCAAAGAATAAAATTAAAAGTATTTAGGAAGAAATGACAGATTAGTGCCACTAAAATAAAAAAGAAAAAAAATCTGACTTTTTCTCTGGAGATTTAAGTCTGAATTCTGAGATTATAGCAAGTCTTTTTTTTTTTTTTTTCAGTGGCACCAATCCTCTTCCATAGAAACTGTGTCCAATTGCTCTTTGCACCACCTTGCTGCTAAAATTTGCTATGCAAATAAACTTGATTGATTAATTGATATTTAATACTACCCATTGTAACCTTTAGCTGAGATACCAAGTTGAACTAATAATAAATAGTTCATGACAACCAAAGATACCACTGATTAAAAAGCTGAAACCTCACCCATAAAAAGTGTTACGATACACAGCATGACTTTTATCACACCAGCATTTCTGCTGCTCATTTTTTACGTTGTTGCTGCCCAGATGATGGATTACTGATTGTTAACAGATCAAAACGTTTCTTTGCCGTTTCAGCGGAGACAGAGAAGCCATAAAGAGGATCGCTTATGAGTTTGTTGAGGACAAAGCCAAGGAAGGAGTCATTTACGTTGAGGTCAGGTACAGCCCGCATTTCCTCGCCAACTGTGATGTTGGCAAAAACATTCCCTGGAACCAGACGGAGTGAGTGTTTTTTTTTTTTATTCATTTATTTCATTATTGTCTGGCCGTGGTGGGGTGTATTACATTTGTTTTGTGTTTTTGTGGACAGAGGAGACTTGACCCCGGATGAGGTGGTGCGTCTGGTTAACGAGGGCCTCAGCGAGGGGGAGAGGGCCTTCAAAATCAAAGCCAGGTCCATTCTATGCTGCATGCGCCACATGCCAAGTAATGACCTGTTCATGCTCGTGTCTGCCAAAATACGCTTGTGAGATAAGGGTCCTGTGTGCTAATGTCTTGTCATCGATGCTCTGCCTTCGGTTATTCTTTCAAAAAGACTTGAACGATTTTATGCTTTAGAAATTTTAAAAAATCTTTTCGAGGACAAATGTGCTTTTAATGAGAAATCCAAGAAATGTCCAAAGCCTATTAGTTAGGGTGGAAATAACTGTGGAACAAAATTATTTTAAAAAAGGAAAACAAATAGTTGATACCATGGGATTTTTTCCTGACAGTTTTCTGTATTACTAAGAGAAAAAAAGAAAAAAAAAAAATAAAGTAAATGGATGAAAATAAAGTCAAAATAATACAAGAATAAAGTCGGAGTAATTCTTGAGAATAAAGTCGGAATAATTTGAGAATTGTGTACATGTGTATCTCTTAATATTTATGAAAACACATTTGTGTGTTTTCTCTCTTACAAAGTGTTGAAAGGAGGATTAAATCTATTCTTAAATAAAGTGAAAGATAAAATATCTGGAAAAAAATGGAACAAAATCCTGCAGCTTTAATCAAAAAAGAAGCATTTTCCAACCCACGGCAGCTCATTCCTCTGATTTGGTGTTGCAGCAGCAGCTGGTGTTACTGTGTTAACATGAAGCAGCGCTGACGGTAACATGAACTGCAGTAACATGAGCTGCTCCGTTCCTGCAACTGTTTCCATGCAACCTAACGGCCAAATTAACTTCACATGCAAAATAAATGTGAATATGTTTTAAATAAACCCAACAGGAAACATTATGCAGATATTCTAAGTGGAAATAAGATTATGTTTTGTTTTAGAAATATGTCATAATTAGAAAATATGGACTAGTTACAGATTATTCTGGTATTATTCAGCTTTTATAGCTATAAATATATGATTTAAAACAGCCAAAGAATAAATTATTTAAATATTTTTGAGCTCTCCTCTTGCAGAGCTACATGAGCGCTCAGGTCTTATGTCTGCAGTAAATATGAGACGGCGACACGTGAGCCTTGCACCAGCAAAATCTCATTTTGACTTTTCTAAGTTAAGCTCAAGATCCCAGCTGCTGGCAGGGCTTCAAATTTCCTGCACAAACCTGAGAAGAATCCATCTCAAAACCTAAAACGAATCATAAAAAAAACTAGTCATAATGTTAAATTCTGCACCCTGCATGTCGATTCATGCTTTTCTAGGCTCAGGATCTCCTTGGATTTATTCAGATGTCTCATTTCTTTTGCACACTGCACACATTGTGTTCAGTTAGCAGGCCTAAAATGTGTCGTAATGGAAATTTGAACTCGTTCCAGACTGGTCCATTGAAGTGGTGGAGCTGTGTAAGACGTATCGGGATGCCGGCGTGGTGGCCATCGATCTGGCAGGCGACGAGTCGATGAACCTCGAAGAAAACTCAAATCACAAGGTGGCCTACGAGGTGAGCACGGAAAACCATGAAGATATTAAAAACACTCCAGACGTGGAACAACAGCAGAATTAGAAAATAAACATCATTCTGAACATATTAACTTAGAAGTGAGTTTCCACTTTTACTACAAATCTTTCAGAAACTACACAGGAATAACTTTCTCTGGACGCGTCTCGGCATACACTGCAAAAACACAATATCTTACTGCGTATTTTTGGTCTAGTTTTTAGAGCAAATATTTTGAAATTAGATAAACCTAACTTTACAGCAACATATGGGAACTTGTGTTAAGTCAATAATTCCTTAAAAATTATTTTAAAAGTGCTAGTCTCACTGGCACACTGCTAAAACATAATATCTTCTCAACCATTTTTGGTCTATTTTTAAGTGAAAATATCTTGGAATAAGATAAAATTAGCTTACAAGTAATTTTTCAGCAAGATATATTAGCTTGTTGTAAGTAAATTATTCCTTAATATTTATGAAAAAGTTCTGGTTCCATTGGCAGATAATTTCACTTACAATGTGGGAAAATGTCTTGTTATAAGTGAAATAATTTGCCAATAGAACTAGTACTTTTTCATAAACATTAAGGCAATATTTACTTAAAACAATCTCCTATATCTTGCTTAAAATTACTTGTAAGTTAGTTTTGTCATATTTCAAGTGTACAAAGATATTTGGGGTAGAAACTAGATAAATACTTGGTGAGATTTGTTGTTTTTGCAGTGAGAAAATGGTTAGACATTCAAATACACATCAAACACAAAGAATGCACAATAAAACATCAATGCCATATCGCGTCATCATAATCATGATCTTTTAAATGCAGAATGTAAATTAACACCTTTATCTGAAATTCCTCTTTCCATCATTGCTTATTTGAAAATCTTAGTTGTGTTTCCTTTCTCTTCTTACAAATCTGTTTTGAATATAGTTTAGTTAAAAATAATTGTGTTATGCGTGAATTTTAAAATATTGTGATCCATCAACACAACTTTAAAACTTTGGCTTCATCTTTGTTCAATAAATACAGATAACTTCACATCTGTTACTCTGTCGTTTATTGGCGTCTTTGCTTCGAATAAAGTTCAGGTCTAGGTTATTAAATGCTCCATGACAAGTGTTTCTGAAACTCCCATCTCCAGTTTGTCCAGTTCTGCTTTTCTGTTCTTGTTCTTCCAGTTTAATAGATTTATATTTTCATTCATGCCAGCGTTTCTTTCTGCGCTGAAGCATGAAGAAGTTTGTTGACCTGTGAAAAGTTTGGATCGAATACAAGTGACGCATTTCACATGAACCACCCACGATGATCTTATTTACACATGTACTGATGAATGAAATGAAAACCTTATTCAGCGAGGAGAAAGAGCAGAGTCCTTTCTGAAATCAAGTTTTATCATCTACGGTTTATGATCTCTGATATGAATGTGCCGACTAAGCAGAAGTGGGCAGAGTACCCAAAAATTATACTCAAGTAAGAGCAGCACTACTGCAACCTATTTTTACTCAAGTAAAAAGTACAGCTTAGTAAAAATACTATAAATGTTACTCAAGTAAATTTAATTGGGTTAATGTTACTAGTTATTACTATAAACACAAAATGCTGACAATTCTGAAATAAAACCAGACGACATAAACATGGGGAGTATTTCATGTCTTTAGATTCATGTGAATTTTCATTTAGATTTTTTTTTTAAGTGAACTGGAAAAGTTGCAAAATGTTGCTCCAGTGAGAACAAAACCCGGCGTTGCAGATGTGAAAGCCAGATGTTTGGCCACGCTGCTTTGTTTCTCATATGTTCCTTGATGGATGTCGTTCCCAGGAGGCCGTTCGCTGTGGGATTCACCGCACGGTTCATGCAGGAGAGGTGGGCCCGGCATCGATGGTGAAGGAGGTGAGCCGCTCGACAGTAACAGCCAGCGTTGCTCCAAGGTTTGGCTGGCATGTCTGACATCTCAGTCGCTCTTAAAAGTGCATAAACAAAACCCTGAAGTCACGCCACAACAATAGAGATGAGGGCAAAGAGCCAAGCACAACAAGCAGAGCAGAGTTTTGTCAGTGGAAGAACAATGGAAGCGATCGACTAATGTGTTTTGTTTCAACAACGAGGAAGGTGGTTAACAATACAGGGTGTCGATTTTGAACTTGCAGAAGAAGTTTAAACTGTCCTGACGTGTGAATATCTTAACAAGGAAGCAACATGGTGACAATGAAGAAAGGGGAAAACCAAACAAGTTTGCTGTGAGGTGATGAAGATAAAACTGGGAGTAAAAGAAACCAGATATTCTGTTTTTCTACATGACAGAATAATCAGAGGGGCTTTTTTAATCACTTTCTTCAAATTCAGACATTTATGCCTTTAAATAATTAAGGGAAAGCTGTGATGATGATGTCATGCCTTTGTAAGCTTCCTGTAAAGGGGAACCTAGTTTCCAAATTTCACATTTGTATGTGTTTTTTTTTTTTTAACTTCCATTTGAGTTTCTTCTGTTTTTAAAAACAGGCATAACATTTAACACAAATTTTTTTTGGCAGTAAGTTAAACATTTTTAATGTCTGGGAAATGAGCCGTTTCAAAAACCTTCCGTTACCTAGCAACACCACCAAGCCAGGCCGTGTTACCTAGCAACTGGGTTCAGAGTTCCAGAACATTCGGTCAGCTTGTTTTGCCTCTGAATTCGCTGGAAAAGACGAGAGTTTTGTTGTTGATTTTAGCAGCCAGAAACCATTTCCACACAAGGATTAATAAAGTGATTCTGATTCATTTTTATAATTAATAAGGGAATAAATGTGCACTAGTATACGTCCAAGGATAAAGTACTTATTCTTCTTAAAGGTTGTTCCTGTTTGGTGGTAATTACAAATAGAAAAAGGATCATCTCAAGTAAATCATGAATTTATCAAAACTGAGGTGACCTGTGCATATCAGGTTAAACTTGTTGGAGATTTTTTTGTTGCTTAACGTTTTTTGCATGTTTGTTTGGTGTTTTAGGCTGTTGAAGAGCTGAAGGCCGAACGAATCGGACATGGCTACAACACGCTTCAGGACAAAGACCTGTACAGAAAACTGCTGGAGCAAAACATGCACTTTGAGGTAAACAACCAACTTCACCATCCTTTCCATCAAAACAAAGTCCTTATTCTCCTGTATTTATGATGGCATAGTAGAGCCGTGCTAAGAAAACAGAATAGTCATAATATTTTGAGAATAAAGTTATAATATTAGCACCATATTCTCAAATTGTTTGGTCTTTATTCTCATAATTTTATTTTATTTTTTTCTTGGCATGGCCCAAATACTCAGTCATATATATTATGTAAATATCCTGGAAGTATTTCCTCCTGACTTTTTCTCCTGTAGTTGTAGTCATTTTAGGTGAACTCCCTATGGAAGTGGAGATATTGCGCCCTCTAGTGGAGACATGAGTTGAATGAAACTTTCTCCTTGCAGATGTGTCCCATTTCCAGTAAGCTGACAAGTGCCTGCAGCTCAGACTTTACCCAACACCCCATCATAACGTGAGTTTTTTTTTTTCCTCACATTGAAATATAGATTAAAACAAAAACGTTCAAGAAACCGGGTTTTATTTTGCTTCTGCAGGTTTAGGAAGGACAAGGCTAACTACTCCCTGAACACAGATGACCCTCTGATCTTCAACTCCAACCTGCCACTCGACTACAGCATTGTGCACCAACACATGGGATTCACGGAGGAGGAATTCAAACGGCTGGTGAGATCAAATGCAGTTTAATAATAGCACCAGATCACAGGGAAAAGCTGTTTAAATGAGGCTAGAAAGGAGAACACGCTGCCTATTTGCCTTTTATCAGGTGATTATTTGAACGAGAACAAAGCCGTACTCTGAAAAATATTCCATCTTAGTCCTGTTTAACAATTCAAGTTCCTTTTATGCAGCATAAGCTCTTAATACCACTAAGAAAAACAACAAAGCAGGTTTGCATGAAACATGACCTTGCATAAGACTGTAGAGAAAATAAACTGGCATTTGGATTTGCACGATCGAGTCACCTCAAAGCCTGAACGGCTCAACCTTACCGTAGCAGATTTGCTCAACAGCTCCATTAAAGGTCAGTGATTATATTAAATACCGACATGTAAATAAATTGACATCAACAGACTATTTCTTGACTGTTACTGACGATATTTACACTTCAGTTCTGTAAAGTGGCCAAAACAATTCTAGGGTTTTGCAGATATTCATTTCTGCACAAGTCCTTTAAGGTCAAACTGCAGCATTTCATTAAAGTTAAGGTCTAAACTTTGACTGACCACCTGCATTAATTTATTTTTTAAGACATTTTGTTGTAGATTTACAGCATTTTAGTTTATTTTAACCAGAGATGTATCAAGTGATTTGATTTACTGTAAAATCTCTTCCTTGCATAGTCTGAAGAGTAGAAATTATAGTTGCTTAATAAAAACATGAATATTGATTTCTTTAAAGAAGTAATTATCACAATTTTTAGTAGCATTGTATAGTCTAGAAATTGATCTACAACTTTTACAATATCACCCCCCGATTGGCTTGAATAGTTTTATCCTTGCAGTGTTTATAAAAAAACTAGTTGAAACAGTTGAAATGCTAAATAGCTGCAGCATTTAACACAAGAAAAATTGCAATCACAAAATTTTAAGTATATTTGTAATTTGGCTGTAACAGAACCTCAACTGCTAAAGCAGAACAAGCAGAATATGAACACTTAGACTGCAGAGTGTATGGAAAGCCAGAAGTGCCACAATTCAATAACATAGTTTAAAAAACGATGTGAATTTTTTTTTTACAGAACTGGAGATGTATGAATCAAATTACTGAATTTAACTTTATCTTAAATAAATAGGAAATGCATTATTTAATTGTTTAATTATTTCATATATGAAATATACATTAGTTTCTAATTAACACTTGGAGAAGAGGAGATTTTTCAGATTCTGTCTCGCATGTCATCACATGGTGACAGTTTAAAGAAATATGTAAGAAAAATATATTTTAATAAAACTAACATACTGCAGCTGGGCCTGTCATGATAAATAACTTTGCCGGATGATTAATTGTCCCAGGATTTATTGCGATAAACGGTAATATTCATGTTTTGAGACAATTTTCAAGTAATTGAGATAAATTATTATTCTCCTTAAAGGTCAATAAATTATGATGAACATTTAAACACTGGAACTGAGAGACATTTGAAATATCCAAAATAAACAAACAAAACAGAAACAACAAATAAAATGAATTTTGATGTCTCTGTAAACAAAACTGGGTTAAAAAAAAGGATAGTTGAGACCAAAACACAAGATGGAAGATCAGTTTTATAGAAAGAAAAATTATAAATCAAGCAAATGAAAATGATGGCGTTTGTATTGGTTTATTGTGTGATTAATTGATTTATTGTGACAGGCTTAACTGCAGCTTTAACATACTGAGGCAAGTAGAGTCTGAAAATGAGCTTTTCAGACAGACCCTGCTGTTTATATTGAGCCACTCGCACTGACTTATAATCACTTAATCAATGCATTTGATTAGAAAAAGAGCTGAAATCCATTTCCTCTCATCAGCCTGAACCAATCAGGAGGGAACTGAATGGGAACTTTGTCGTTTTGTCTCGTAGAACATCAACTCTGCAAAGTCGAGCTTCCTCCCAGAGAAGGAGAAAGAGGAGCTTCTCCACCAACTGTACGAAGCGTACGGGATGATGCGGAGCACCGCCCTCTGAAATGCCCTCTGACCTCTTAAGCAGCGACACAAAGAAATGTGGTTCCACTGCTGTGTGAGCCCACATGAAGCCTAGAGAACATCAGACCAGCTGGTTACCACTTCACCTCCCCCTGTGATCCGGTTTCATCTCAAGAAGTTCTTACATACCTCCACAGTTTTTTATCCACATGAGGTTACATTCCTCTGGAAGGTGCAGAAACATCCGAGGGTTGTCATTTCATCTCATCTTGAGTTTACATGTTGTTGTTATGAAGACGAGCTTTAAAATGCAGTTATTCAGTATTCATAAACTTATGCAGCCTATGGACGCCAGCTTGTTTTTTGTTGTTTACATCCTGTAGAGGTAAATTGCAGTGCTAAAAGATGATGGGAAAAATAATTGATTTAAGAGCAGAATATGAGAGAACGCATGCGGACAAGCAGATTGATGTGCTTTTTGCTCTCCACATGAAACGAACCCGGGACCAGATGCATGAAACGTTCATGAAAATATACATAGTTTTCTGTCAGTGGGAGACGTAATGCACATTAACTTTATTCCCACTTCCATCTTTAATTATGAGAGGCTGTAAATCACTAACATAAATAATGTTGCACTAATGAATAAAAAGAACTGGTGCCAAACTGGAAGAAAGTAAAAAATTATTCTTCACTGTCTCCTGCTTTTTCTGCATCAGATGAATAAATGGATTTTTGAATCTGTTCAGTTTTACTAAGAGATTAGGAAATCTAAAAACTAACAGCAGCACAAAAGAAAAAAACAAACTTCAGATATCTATTCTTTAAGACTTTAGCAAAATGCTGGAAGATGAGTCTTAAAATCTAAACGTATGCTTAAAACTAATTTTAAAAAATAATTTCTCATTCTGTTATGGTTTGTTTTAATCTTTTTCTTAAGATTTGTTTTATTCAGTTTCATCAGGCTTTATTTTGTTTAGTTTCTCATTAATAAAAGAAAAGATGCTGGTTTCTTTTTTCCACCCCATGTTTCTGCATCTGGGCCCGGGAGGAAAAGCAGGTGAAAAGAGCTCCATACCAAAAGTGCAGTCTTATTATGTGTCCGCTAGGTGGCATCGCGATGTCACCCAAGCGGAAAAAGCACAGCCTCTAATTTAGTGGGGTTTTTTTACTTTTCTTTTGATGTAAATATTTAAAATATTTTCATTTAACTAGAACAGAAAATCACTTGTCGGCACTCATTTGTAGCTCTTATATAAAAAAAATCAGCTATTGCAATAAAAGCCATTAAAAGACAGTTTTGTTCTACTTTTGAAATCTTTTCACATCCAGTTAATTCACACCACTTCAGCAAAGAATTGTATGGTGGTGTATTATAGGCAGAAAAAAGATGCATTTCTGCTAAAGAAAAACTCAAAAATTGGGAAAATTCTTGGAAATTTTATATATATAAAAAACTTTTTCATATAAAGTTTTTGAAGTTTCTGAGCTTGAAAAGTCAAAAAATTGCTTGAGAAAAATCAGAAATTTTCTAGAAAAAAAACAAGGAAATATATATATATAAACTTTCAGAATTTCTTCAAAACATTTTGGGGATTTGAATTTGAAAAGTAGAAAAATTTATTGAAAAAAATATTTCTGAACTCTAAATGTCAAACATTTTTGACTTTAGAAACTCAAAATTTCTCAGTTTTTTTTTGGTGGAAATTTACTTATTTTGTTGACCTACAATGTCCCTAACACACCGTTGTACAAACATCTGTTTCTTTATTGTGCATAGCGATAAATGAACACGGCAGCCATGCTGGATGGAAATGTCAACACCATTCTCATGTACACAACAAGCTGCGTTCAGGAATATTGATGGATCTAATTAACACGCCTTTTACTGCTCCCTGATCAGCAGTCTCCATAACCCACAACACGGACGGATTCCTAGTGTAAGAACGTAATTATCGCTTAGAAACGTACAAATGTTACAGTAATTCATCAGTATTTTATTACACAAAGAATAGTTCTATCACAAAGTTATCACTTAACATTTAGCAATAAATATGAAGTCTTTACTCGACAGTAAATGAAGACAATACTAGAAAAAAAATGGAACAAGAGAGTCACAAACGCACACAGACGTGAAAAGAGAACGACAAACGGATGATAATGAATCCATGACACAGTTCCATTCTAGGCCGGAGCGATGCCTTTAGTTATAAATAATTTTGTTTAGCTCAGTTCTCCTCAGGCATTAATCCAAAGTTTCTGTGCTTCCTCATCCTGTCAGGAAATATAAATGACTAACAGAGTATAAAGCAAAGGATCCCATTTTCCACTTCCACTCAGTTCTCCTAGCCATGTTACTATCTGGTCCGGTAAAAAAGAAGAAAGAAGAAAGAAGTGGGTGACATTTGGGACGAGGGAAGCTCCAAACAGGCCGGCAGTGAGTGACAGTGTCCTCAGCTCCAGAAAGGACGGCTAACGTTCCACCTCTTCATTTCCCTCTCGGCGTTTCTCAACGCCGCTTCTGTCTCCTGCTGCCTTTAGGACGGCCCCCCACCGCCCTGGGCGTCTTGGCTTGTGGAGCCCTCGGCCTCTGGAGCCGGGGAGGCCCCGGGGTCTCCTTCTGCGCAGACAAAAAAGATTACAAAACAAATTCAGGGGAAAACATGACAATTCTGTTTAAAAAAAAAAAAAAAAAACTTCCTACAGCAACTAGGGCTGAAACGATCAAATTAATCATGATTAATCGATTATTGTAATAATCGTCAACTAATTTAGTAATCGATTGTTGACTGGAGCACACAGATTGAAGAAAAGGTCACTTACTCAAAGAACATACTCAAAGCAGTAATTAAGCCAAAACTGTACAAAATATGATTAATCAAATTAATCATGAGTAAAGGATTATTGAAAGATCATCAACTAATTTATTAATCAATTGCTAACTGGAGTACACAGACTGAAAAGGTAATTTACTGAAACAATATACTCAAAGCAGACATTAAACTAAAACTACAAAATATATTACAAATCAAATTAATCATGCAGAATATGCCATTTTTTTATTTGATTAATCAATTAATCATGAGAAAAATCAATTAAACATCAGAATAATATATTACTTAAGTAGTGTTAGAGCCTTAGCAGTGACATAATGTCAGCTTGACATGAGTTTGTTTCCCCAAGAGGTCCTTCTCTCCCCAGAGTAGGTCTCATCTCTGCAGCTCATAGGTCACCGTTTTACAACTAAAAAGGAAGTAATTTCCCGGTAATACAGTGAAAAAGTGCATCAGAGCGGAAGGATTTGAGTAATATGAAAGGGAACCAGACACCATTATAGAGAATAATTGAGGGCTGTGTCTGCTGCTGCTGTTCCGGCTCATTTAACACAGAAATCCCACAGCTGAGAAACCAAACACCTGCGTGGGCTACTGGTTATTGGTGCCTTCAGCTCCAGGATGGATCAGCTGCTCACCTGCACACTTTCTATTATTAGGATCATCAGGAAAATGGCGGTTTTAAATTTGGGACTGGCACAAACTAAAAGCCTACGTCTTCTTGGTGAAGAATTAAAGTCAAGGCCCAAGCTAGCCACAGCAGGAAGTCATACTTTTTGGAAATAAGTAGGACTCTTAGAGTCAGATTAATTCAATTTCAGGTTTACATTATTGCAGGGATATGAGGAACCACCCAGAAGAAAAATATTAGACAAGAAAAGGATATATTTCCATAGCCAGTAGTTTAAAACGCACTCATTTGGGGTTAATGAGTGCAGAGCTATTTTTTTTTTTTTGCTAAATTTTAAAATGCTTAGCACAGTTAGCTTCCTCTAAATTAATTTATGTGGCTGTTTTGTAAACTTTCCCTTAAATAAAATTCAACACTTGTGTTAAAGTAGTAGTTCCAGCTGTAAAAGATTCCTCAATTAACTTAATATTTATATTCAGGCTCTTATTTTGAAGTGGCTGAAGACCTCTTCCTCACCTCACATCCTCCATTCTAAAAACAACAAATTATGTTTATTTTATTCCCACAATGCACCAGTTTAAAATCCACTGATCAACCATGATCAATTAAGCAAAATCAGCAACTAAGTCAGCAATAATCAGCAATTATAAAACTGAAACCATGAGTTTCTGAAGCACAAGCAGCATATAGGTAGGTGTGCAATAACAAATGTCACCCTGTTGGGGGCGTAATACTATCTAATGTTGAGTCATTGACACATGGTGGGTATCAACATGGCTGAATTTAGCACTTTAGCATTAGATTGTGCTAAATACCATGTTAGTATTATCAAAACTAATGTTTATGTTTAGCAGGACTTGCTTTTCCGCTATAAGTGCACACCTCTGATTATTCCTGATCTGAAATGATTTGTAGTCATTTAAGTATGAATGTTTTGGGTCAGGTGAATAACACATCCATGTTGGTTTTAAAATAATCAATAATCAAGATTTTTGAATGATTCTGACCACAACATTATTAAACATTAAAGGATGAGCAAAGTAATTTATTGAACTTTACCAATTCTGAGAGAATAGTGAACTAATATCCACATCTAAATTGGTACAAAAACTGTATAATTTCTCTTTAACATTCTAAGGGATATTTACCCAAATATTAAAAGGGGTGTTATATAAATTAACACATTTGTTGATTAGGGATTCACCCTGCTGTACCCAATTATTGTTTAAAAATCCATAGCAAGTGTATGTAGCATCATTCCACCTTGGAAAAAGAAAACAAATGAATTATTAATTCATACTGCAGAGTACGTGAAAACGTCTTCAATTCTTGATTGTATCCTTTATTATTGTGATATAGATACACAATCTGCCTGATCTCCTCACTGAAAACACAGAGCTGAAATAATCTTTCACCTTCTGTAGAAAAAAAGGCCTTTAGACATAAAACCTGTCAACATCCTGGCTACTGCTGGTCAAACAGCCACAAATTCTCCATCTTTGCTCTGTTGTAAAACACTGCAGGCACATTATTATGCTGCAGTCTGGAGCCGACGCTCAACATTTCTGAGTTCTACCCATAATTTCATTTTATGAAAGAGTGTGTGCCTTGTGATTAACGTGGAAAAGCCCATAATAAGAACTCTGATCTTTATTTTTTTTAAATAAATGTTTTGATTTTCCAGAACTATTCCTGCAGGGGATTTAAAAACTGTACACACTGCAGTTAAAATGGAAGGAAGCCTTTTCACATGTAAAAAAGAATAAATAAATTATTGCTACAAGTACATTGAAAAACAATTTAGCCCTAATATGCACAATTAAATTTAACCGTAAGAAAAACTAGCAAAAAATTAAAGCAGTGTGCAAAAAATTGGCCCATATTAAAAAAAAAAAAAAAAAAAAAAAAAAAAAAAAAGTTTTAAAAATTTTTTTTTTTTGGAGGTAAGCAGGAGTAGGAAGTTTTTTAGCCAATAC